AAGTACGTCTGACGTTTTTCTTTAAAATTAGCATTTCTTTCTGGCTACTATGTATAGGTATCTATGTAAGTACTGGTACTTCTGAATGGGTTGAGGCTGGGAATTAGTGCATTTGAATATAGTGCATATATAGGTGCATCTCAATAAATTAGAATGTCGTGGAAAAGTTTATTTATTTCAGTAATTCAACTCAAATTGTGAAACTTGTGTATTAAATAAATTCAATGCACACAGATTGAAGTAGTTTAAGTCTTTGGTTCTTTTAATTGTGATGATTTTGGTTCACATTTAACAAAAACCCACCAATTCACTATCTCAACTAATTAGAATATGGTGACATGCCAATCAGCTAATCAACTCAAAACACCTGCAAAGGTTTCCTGAGCCTTCAAAATGGTCTCTCAGTTTGGTTCACTAGGCTACACAATCATGGGGAAGACTGCTGATCTGACAGTTGTCCAGAAGACAATCATTGACACCCTTCACAAGGAGGGTAAGCCACAAACATTCATTGTCAAAGAAGCTGGCTGTTCACAGAGTGCTGTATCCAAGTATGTTAACAGAAAGTTGAGTGGAAGGAAAAGGTGTGGAAGAAAAAGATGCACAACCAACCGAGAGAACCGCAGCCTTATGAGGATTGTCAAGCAAAATCGATTCAAGAATTTGAGTGAACTTCACAAGGAATGGACTGAGGCTGGGGTCAAGGCATCAAGAGCCACCACACACAGACGTGTCAAGGAATTTGGCTACAGTTGTCGTATTCCTCTTGTTAAGCCACTCCTGAACCACAGACAACGTCAGAGGCGTCTTACCTGGGCTAAGGAGAAGAAGAACTGGACTGTTGCCCAGTGGTCCAAAGTCCTTTTTTCAGATGAGAGCAAGTTTTGTATTTCATTTGGAAACCAAGGTCCTAGAGTCTGGAGGAAGGGTGGAGAAGCTCATAGCCCAAGTTGCTTGAAGTCCAGTGTTAAGTTTCCACAGTCTGTGATGATTTGGGGTGCAATGTCATCTGCTGGTGTTGGTCCATTGTGTTTTTTGAAAACCAACGTCACTGCACCCGTTTACCAATAAATTTTGGAGCACTTCATGCTTCCTTCTGCTGATCAGCTTTTTGAAGATGCTGATTTCATTTTCCAGCAGGATTTGGTACCTGCCCACACTGCCAAAAGCACCAAAAGTTGGTTAAATGACCATGGTGTTGGTGTGCTTGACTGGCCAGCAAACTCACCAGACCTGAACCCCATAGAGAATCTATGGGGTATTGTCAAGAGGAAAATGAGAAACAAGAGACCAAAAAATGCAGATGAGCTGAAGGCCACTGTCAAAGAAACCTGGGCTTCCACCTCAGCAGAGCCAGAAACTGATCACCTCCATGCCACGCCGAATTGGGGCAGTAATTAAAGCAAAAGGAGCCCCTGCCAAGTATTGAGTACATGTACAGTAAATGAGCATACTTTCCAGAAGGCCAACAATTCACCAAAAATGTTTTTTTTATTGTCTTATGAAGTATTCTAATTTGTTGTGAATTGGTGGGTTTTTGTTAAATGTGAGCCAAAATCATCACAATTAAAAGAACCAAAGACTTAAACTACTTCAGTCTGTGTGCATTGAATTTATTTAATACACGAGTTTCACAATTTGAGTTGAATTACTGAAATAAATGAACTTTTCCACGACATTCTAATTTATTGAGATGCACCTGTATACTGAATTCACTTAGTGCAGACTGGAGTATGTGTAGTTTGTGATCATGACGAGGGTCAGTTTCTGGTGAAACATGAATGTTTGTGAAGTGCTGCAGTGGGTTTGTGCTTCTGCTGCTGTAGAGGAAGATCAAAGATAACCCTCTGGATAAAAGCATCTGTTACATGAATGAATAGATATATTCTGCAGGAGCGTGTGATCCCGTGTCTGCTGCGTCTGCGTCAGGCCGGTGACGTGTGTCTGCAGTCCGCGGTCCGACAGGCTCTGGCTCTGCTGGGCTTCACTGAGCCCGTGAGGAAGCGTGGCATCCGGATCCTGGCCATCGACGGAGGGGGGACCCGGTGAGAGCCTTAAAGTCTCACAGAGTCTTCATTATCATGTTAAGAGCTCTTTACATGTGGAGATGGAAAACCCTAGTCACCACAATACAAAGACTGTGATTCAGTGAAATACATGCTGCACGTTCAACACAATCGCAGTTCACAATCAGTGTATCCCGCACATTTATGATGCACCTTTGATGACCTGACAGTGTTGACGTTATGGTTTTCATATTCTGATATGTTGTAGATGGTTGTAAGATGCATATTTGATGTCTCTTTATGTGTCTTTTTGAATGAGCAGCTGAAGTAGAGTTAGAGTTAGAGTTATACTTTATTGTCTTTTGCAAGAAATTTGTCTTGGACTCAAAGCTGCAGTAGTTCATGACAACCACACACAATAACAGCAACAACATTATTAAAAAAAGAGAGAAAAAAAAACAGTTAAAATACCATCACAGTTACTAGTAAAGTAGCAAAGCAAAGACATTTCAAAATAAGAGTCCTGGTGTATTTCAGGTTTGTTTATAACTAGAAGTCCCTCATTATGCATAAAGTCTTTATTTTCCTGGCTATTATTTCTGGTGTGTGTTTCAGGGGTCTGCTGGCCCTTCAGACGCTGCGCCGCTTACAGGAGCTGTCAGGAAAACCTGTCCATCAGCTGTTCGACTACATCTGTGGCGTCAGCACAGGTGTGTGTGTGTGTGTGTGTAGTGAAATATCACAACAACCGACTAGTGAGGTGAATTTATGGCTCATAGATCAGCAGAATCATGTCTGTATTTAAATCTAGAGTTCTGCACAGGTTACGACATATACACAGAACATATAATTAATCTGATAGGAAAAAACAATGAAAGTCCATAATATAATGAAACAAGTGTGTGTGTGTGTGTGTGTGTGTGTGCGTGTGCGCGTGTGTCAAGTCAAGTCACCTTTATTTATTTAGCGCTTTTAACAATACAGATAGTGTCAAAGCAACTGTACAGTATTAATTTGGAAAATATTGTGTCAATAATGCAGAAGGACAATAGTAAACACTCACTTTTCAGTTAAAGGCAGTTCATCATTGAATTCAGTGATGTC